GAGCCCATTAGAAGAACTCTGGTAGAGCCCTTACAGTAATATAGGGGCCTTCATACGTAGAATAAGGTATTGGGGCCCATTCTACTATAATTATAACAAGGAAGCCCCAAAATAATGTTGGTAATTATTTAGGTTCTATGTTACCCTTTCAAAGAACCCCACAGGAACTCCTTCCTTGAGAGATCTACTCCTGCCAGCCCAGACGCCCGAAAGGATCTAGAAAGTAGAACCCCTAATTTGGGACCCTGTGCTACTAAGGGCTCTTCATAGGAACCCCCATTAAAGGATCTACTCCCAAAGCCATATAAACCCCCTATAAATTCTCTTTAGATCCCTTTACAGAACCCCCATTAAGGGATCTACTTTTTGGATCCTCCCGCGGGTCTGGGCCAGGGTAGGACCCTGAGTCGTTGCAGCCTTCTCTGCTCGGGTGGCATCCGCGGGCACGTGAATTCCTCGCGCGGAGATCTCAAACAAGACCAACCCCTAAACCCTAAACCCTAAAAACCCTAAACCCTAAACCCTAAACCCTAAACCGCGGACCATAGTGCAGGATTCCACGTACACTATACTATAATCATAATAAGGAACCCCAAACTTGCATAGGTATATGCATATATTATTACTTGGAGGTTCGTGGGACCTAATAAGTACAGTTATAAGTGCCCTAATTGCGGCTATAAGCAATTATGAGTATAGTTACCTTATCTATAACCCTAGTTACTAAGTCCCATGAACCTTCAAGGAGTGCAGGATTCCATTGTCGAACCTTTAGGGTGAGGGGTTTAGGGTTTTACCCTAATCCCTAAACCCTAAACCCTTTAGGGTTAGGCTTGAAGGCTCTTTCGCATATACATCCATGAGCTCAGCACCTCTACAGCCCACCCCGGTTTAGGGTTTAGGGTTTAGGGTACCCAGACACACTGAAGCATCTGAAAACCGAAATCCCGTTCCCTCTCCTCAAAAGGTCTCCTTCCAATATATTTCTTAGGATTAGCCTTTCTTTAGGCTCCTAGTTGTCAGACCCTTTGTAAAGCCTAAACCCCCCAACCCTAAACCCAACCCGGACCTAAAGAACAACCCCTCAAGCCTAAACCCAACAACCCAGCGTAAACCTCGAGCATCCCAAACCCAACACCCTGAACGCCAGGGAATCCTACACCCTACTCCTTGCTTTCGGAATCTTTTTCAGGTATACACACCCTACCTAGACCTCCAAATGACACGCAAGGAGCCTTAGTAATGAAAACAGGGTTTCGGGGTATGCTGTGCTATAATTACACGGAATCCCCAGACCCCCGGAAGGATCCAAAAAGTAGAACCCCTAATTTGGGACCCTATACTACTAAAGGGTCTTTAAACGAACCCCCATTTAGGGATCTACTTTTTGGATCCTCGCGGGGGTCGGGGTCACAAGGAATAGGATCGGTACCTATTGCGAGCCCTATAATACACAGACCCACTGGGAGGATCCTTAAAATAGAACCTTTTGACAAAGGCCTACCCTCAGCCAAATGAGGGTAGGATTCCTTCCTGAGTTCCAGACCCCCGGGAGGATCCAAAAAGTAGATCCCTTAATTGGGGTTCCTAGAAGGAGCCCTTAGTAGTATAGGGTCCCACATTAGGGGTTCTACTTTGTAGATCCTTCCGGGGGTCTGGAGTGTTCTGAACCCTAAACCCCAAACCGGGTTTACGGCTTAGGTAACAATGCCTACTATGGGGCCTGAATAATTAGAATAGGGCTTTGACGTATACTATACTATAACTATAATAAGGAACCCCCCAAATAGTACAGGTAATTATTACCTGGAGGTTCATGGGACTTAATAAGTACAGTTATAAGTACCTTAATTGGGGCTATAAGTAATTATAGGTATAGATACCTTCTTCGTAAGCCTAGTTACCACGTCCCATGAACCTGTAAGTAAGGCCCCTACATTACACCAGTCCCTAAAGTCTTATGAGGCTCGACCCTAAATCCTAAACCCAAAACCCTAAACCCTAATCCTGAATTTCTGAAGCCCCCACACCTAAAGCGCAGAGCCACGGTTGAGGGTTTAGGGTTTAGGGGTTCAGGGTTTAGGGACCTTAATCATCAGAATAAGGTTTGGGGGTAGACTATACTTTGTTGTGAATTAGGAGGCCTTTTAACTACTGTATATATCCTTTCCGCATAGCAGGACGGACCCCTTTATAGTACACCCAGCCCTACTTCATAAGGCCATATAAAGCCCTCATGCAACCCCTCGGTAGACGTCCTGCAAGAAAAATCGCCTTCAAAGGATCCCTTAAAGGATCCAAAAGTAGATCCCTCAATGGGGGTTCCTATAAAGAGCCCTTAGTAGTATGGGGTCCCAAATTAGGGGCTCTACTTTCTAGATTTTTTGGGGGGGTCTGGGTGGGGGAGCCCGTGAACGATCCCGTTTAAAGGAGCACTTACAGGATCCCCTAAACCCAGACCCCCAAAAGGATCTAAAAAATAGATCCCCTAATTAGGGACCCTAACTACTAAAGGGTACTTTATAGAAACCCCCTTGGGGGATCTATTTTTTAGATCCTTTTGGGGGTTTGGGAAGGAGCCCGTAAAGGGATCCCTTAGAGGAGCCCTGAAAGGAACCCTCAAGAGCGGTGACTCGTACCCGAGAACCCTAACTTGCGACAGAAAAAAGCAGAAGACTAACACTGATAACAACGGTAATACCACTGGTAAGAATAATGGGGATAGCAGTGAAAAAATGAAAGGATATTCAGAATGGGAATATGGGTTACTAATACTAACGAGGGTAATACTGAGGCTAGTAAGGACAATCATGCTAGTAAAAGTAATAGTGCTCGTACTCGCAATAAGAATAGCAAGAGTAGCAGTAGGAGTAAACGTTATCGTAATAATGGTCGTGACAGTAGTAGTAATAGTAGCAGTAACAGTACTAATAACAGCTAAATACAATCATGCGGATAGCAAGAACAGCTAATGAACAAGGAAAGATCAACACTAATAATAGGAACAGCCGTGAACATGCGGATAAGGATGCTTACAAGACTTGTAATAGCAAAAAATACATACTCACATGCGGCAACAATTATTGCCACCCTAAACCCTGAACCCTGAACCCTAAACCCTGAACCCTGAACCCTAAACCCTAAACCCTAAACCCTTAAACCCTAAACCCACGTGACTCCTGCACTTTTGAGCTCTTCGTCAAGTTGCTCATCGGAGAGCATGGCCACACCTCGATTTCGGCTCGTTGCTTAGAAGCAGCTTCTGTGAAAGGAAATTACAGGTGGGGAGATTAGGGTATATAGGGCTTCTATAAGGCTTCTATAAGGCTACCTACCCACCTGAAATGTCCTAGATTCTGCTTTTCTTGCAACAGGGTTTCCCGTTTCCTGGACCCTACAGAACCTACCTTTTCAGGGTTCCTTATCCTGGCTGACTTCTGAACCCCTCCTGAACCCTAAACCCTTACTATCGTTCATGTAGACATCCAAAATGCTAAAATCCTAAGAGACAACCAGAAGAGGAACCAAGTTATGATGATTTCGGTATATGCGTAAACCCCAAACCGTAAACCCTGAACCCCTCAACCCTGAAAGCCTAAACCCCTGTGTTCCCATTTCCCATATGGTTATTTAGGGCCCAGGTGGGGCTTAGGGTCTGAATGTAAGCGTTTAAGGTTTCGGGTTTAGGGCTTAGAGTTTCGGGTTTAGGGTTTGAGGTCCAGAGTTTCGGATTCAGGATTTTGTTGGGGTTGAGCCCTAAACCCTAAACCCTAAACCCTAAACCCTAAATGCGGGGTCTCTGAGTATCCCCTTAATCACAAGAGTACCCTGAGTATTCAGCTTTGAGAAGGAAAACCAAAAATAGATGGGGCAAGCGGATACTGCAATGGCATTACTCATTAGAACAGGGTTTTTGGGGGCCCAATACACTATAAAAACAATAAGGAACCCCCAAAATAGTATTGGTGATTATTAAGGCCCCTACACCCTAAACCCTTATAGTGGCCCGTATAGAACCCTGTAAAGGACCACCCCCCCAAAAAAAACCAGACAAGTGAAGTACCAATAATGGAACCACCTGAAGGGATCTACTCCCAAAGCCCTACAATTCCCTATACATCCCCCAAAAGATGCCTTTAAAGAACCCCCAAAAGGAAACCCCCCTAAGAAATCGAGATTGAAGCCCTAAGGAACCTGGCGAGCCCGAGGCTGTCATTCTTGGACCGAGCCACTTTCCTCTAGTCGCTGGCGCATCTCCTGGCCCCGTTCTCGGGTTAAGGCTTGTAGGGTTTATAGGGTTTAGCTGCCACTAGATTCGTGTGTTACGGCTCCATGCTTATTCTTGAGCTGCGGCGTAACGTCCCGGCGTAGCGGGGTTTAGGGATTAGGGTTAAGGTTTGTAAGGTTTAGCGCTTATGGGAGCTTGGCTGACTTCTGAACCCCTTCGAAATTGAACTCTTAGCCTACTTCTTCTACGTAGCTCATGTAGAAGCCCAAGCAGCTAAAGTTGAAGTGCCAAGAGCAGCCAGAAGAACGCCAAGCAGGGCTTAGGGTGTTATAGGCTTTCGGTTTGGGTTTAGGGTTTAGGGTTTAGGGTTTAGGGTTTAGGGTTTAGGGTTTAGGGCTTTCGGGTCGGTTCCGCGAAGCCTAAACCTTAAAACCTAAACCCTGAACCCGAAAGTGTTTGGGGTCGGTTCCCCAGGCCCTGAACCCTAAACCCTAACTCAGACCCCCGGGAGGATCCAAAAAGTAGATCCCTAAATGGGGGTTCCTATAAAGAGCCCTTAGTAGTATAGGGTCCCAAATTAGGGGCTCTACTTTCTAGATCCTTATGAGGTCTGGGCAAGGGCTTTGGGTCGGTTCACCAGACTCCTGGGCCCAATGTTCAAAAATCCCCACCCCGTGTATTCAGCGCTAGCGGGTTCGTCTCAAGGCCTCCTTCAAGGTTCCTTGAGGGGGGTTCCTTTAAAGGGCTCCTTTAGGGTTCAAGTCCCCGCAGCCTTGTCCGAGAGCTTGTTCAGGTCAGAGGGCAGCTGCGAGGCCTGGGGTACTTCAAGGCTCTGATAGGGTTTAGGGGTTTTAGGGTTTTGGGGTTTAGGAGTTTAGGAGTTTAGTGGTTTAGGGGTTTAGGGTTTAAGGATTTTACTTAAAGGTTCATGGGACTTA